TTAGGGTTCGGGGGTTTTACAAGTCTTGATTGAAGGATTTAGAGTTTCGTTGTTTCTGTGTTTGCCACTGTCTTTTTGCACGGGATTTAGGGTTTGAGGGTTTTGGGGCTTTGTGGCTTAGGGTTTTGGGGTTTCAGGGTTTGGGGGCTTATCGTTGGAGGCTTTAGGATTTAGGGAGGCAATGAAGGTTTAAGAGGGTCCGGGGAAAGGTGATAAATGTTGTCTGGATTTGTTGTATCAATAGGTTTTGGGCGGGAATCTATGCTCTATGAGACTTCTGTTTACAGGGTCGTGCCTAAGTAATGAGGGCGGCGGAGATTTCCTGAAACTATGTTTCCCACCCTATACAGCCGTTACGAAACCTTAAACTAGTACCATTAATCTTGAGAAGCCCTTGTTATTCCTTAAGAACACCACGGATATCGAACATGCCGGCCTGGTAGTTGGTCTCCAGCATCGTCCACGAGCATCCCTGTAGCCTTCATGTGGCACATTAAGGATTAATTCAGGCAGGGTTTCTTTTGACATTAGCTCAGAGTTTAGGGGTTGGTTTCTTGACATTGGTGTCTTGGCTTCGGTTTACAGGTTGCAGTGAGGTTTTCTCAAGATTGTTGGGCGCCGCCGGGGTCTTGGGGGTCTGCGTTGCTTTGGGCTCGATGATCGCACGGTACCCTCATACATCCACATTCCGGTCTTATGGTGGCCCTGCCTTTTCCGTTGTACAGTAAGGGCCTTCAAGAAGCAGCCCACGGAACCCGAATGCCGCAACCCTCATCCTTGGGTTTGGGTACTTTGGGCACTGTGGCTTTAATGCTTCTCCTGTATTAGGGAGTACCAGTGACTACCAGTGTTGTTGCGGCGCGCCTCCTTCTTCAGCTTTGGTCCAACCTGCAATTTCCCCGTGTTTCTTCGTAGGGTTGTGGATTGTGGGTGGAGTTCTTGTCGGGCTTCGAACTCGCATGCGCTGTTCAAGACACATCAACGAAACGGATGTGCAGATTTCCCGACTCGCATGACGGCCATCAACCATCAAGGTTGCACCTTGCATGTGTGTGAGGTTGTTCAAACTGTGACAAGGGATCAGGCTCTTTAAATTTTTCTTCCAATCCATCGGGCCAAAAATGTGTAAGCTTGAAGTTTCAAAGGGGGAAGTTGTGCATCTAACTTTACTCACTCAGGTACCAAGATCACTCACATCTCAAGATGCCACTTGATCCTTGAAGGAACACTTCACACCACAAGCCCTCGTGCCTTCTGGAGCAGCTTCTCAAGCTGGAGACCAATCTTCTCATCGCGCTGCCGTAGCATCCTCCGCTAGTAGTTTTTGGTGCAAGGGTTTACTGGTGAGTAGTGCATTCATGCATCCGCCGAGCCCCGAGATTGAAGAGGATTCCAAACTTCCCCGAAACCCAAATCGAACACCGCAAATCCGAGAGTCTGCCAAGGCACTGAATTTCCCCAGCCCAAGGTGCTGGCAGCTGCAGCTGTATTTCTATCCTCGGACGAAGGTTTCGGGGATGAAGGCTCTGACTGTCAGCGGGACCTGTATATACAGTGCGCCGTCAAAGTTGCTCATGAGGACACCAAGCCGGAAGCACACGAACTTGGACTCTACCCTAAGGGTTAATGTGCCCAAATAGCACATACTCTTACCTGGAAGTAGTCCCTATATAGATATCCCCAGGGCCAAAGGTATATACTATCTGGGTATAGCTGGGTACATGGATCCCTCAACACGGAAAACCCAACGAAACATCGCCAGAGTTGAAGATGGGTATGTAAGAACGTGTTTCCGACACACTTGCTGCCGACACCGCACATCCATCCCACAATGACGGGTGGTTCACTTAAGAGCGCCGCCAGCCGGGCAACTCCAACGGTTTGATTTGAGCCCATGAGAACCACTGCAGCAAAGAAGTCAAGACAAAGGTCCGCTTGTCGTTCACGAAGCATGGGATGATCAAGAGCCGCACCCCAGCATCTCTGCAAAGCTCGACCTTCGTCGCATCCCTTCTTTGCTGAGCATGGAAGCTGGCAGTATCACCGAAATGGAAGTAATTGTCGGGATCGTAATGCTGCTCTCCCTGGTATTCGAAAGCCAGACGCAAATCGGGGGATAATCCATCCAACTGCAAGCCTCCGAGGAAAGAGGGGAAACAGGGGGGAAACACAGCCGGATGTAATAGAGTCTCGAGGATGCTGCGAATCTCCGCTTCCGTTCGCCAGGTGGCAGCTGCACACTCTGGGCACCACGTCTTGCCATGCAACACGCTGCCGGCAGAGGCTTTCCACCTGTGCCCCTGGCAGCATTCCCAGAGAAGCTTCGTAGCAGCATTCTTGTACGACTTAGCCAAGCACCTTCCACCAAGCGCTGCGGCATGGGCCTGGACGCGCGGCAGACCGATTTTCCTGCAATGGGGACACCACCGCCCCAGATTAAGAACGCTGCTGGGTGTTGCCAGCCAGGTGTGGCCGTGCTCACACTCCCAGGTTACCTTCGAACGGCTGTTAACATATTTCTTCGCCAAGCATTTGCCGCCCCGACAAGCTGCATGCTCTTGCAGTAGCCGCATGTTCAGTGGTGCATTCCCTGCGCAGACTGGGCACCAGGCCTTCCTATTGTTGAGGACGCCATTCGGGCGTGTCCGCCAAATGTGACCTCTGTGGCACTGCCAGAACACCGGCACCCCCACGCCCTCATAGGTAGTTGCGAGGCAATGACCACCGAGGGAAGCGGCATGTTCCTGCAAGTCCTTCAAGCTCCGCCTCTTGCGAGTTCGCCCCTTGCGGGAGCATTTGGGGCACCAGCTTCCCTGGCTAAGAACCACGTTCGGTGTGGCCTCCCAGGTGTGTCCGTGCCTGCATTGCCAAAGGACCTTGGTTTGGGACCTACTATGCTTGCTCTCTGACAAACACCGACCGCCTCGCCCCCTCGCATGATCTTGCAGGCGCTGCAATGGGATCCGCCGCCTGTTTCTGGCACACTCGGGGCACCAGCTCTTCATGTTCAGCACGCTGTCTGGCATTGCATCCCAGGTATGCCCATGTTGGCACTGCCACGGGACTTTCGTCTTCATGTTTTTATACCCGATCGCCAGGCACTTGCCACCCTGGGCCGCGGCATGCTCGTGCAGTCGATCGAGCATGCTCTGCTCTCTGGCGGTCACTTCGTTCAACGTTCCCGGATCCTTTGCAAATCTGCCGGTCAAGCGTCTGCTGGTCTTTCTGAGCAAAGAGCCCGCCAAAAGCCATCCACAAGCCCCAACTGCAGCAAGTCGTGACGGCGCACGGTTGCCGCCCGGTTCAAAAGGATGATGAAGCAGTCTCCCGCAAAAGTTGGTTGCGGTTTTTGCACGCAAACTGGACGGAGTCGGATGCCAGCAGCTGCCGAGCATGACCGCAGGAACCCTACTGACCTCCTGCCTCCCCGAAAGGGATGACAACAAATCCTCGAGCCATGATTCTCTCCCCGAATGCCGGTGGGTTCTTTCACTCAAGTACCTCTTTCCGGCTTCAAGGCCCACGATCCTACGTACCGGGTTTTGCTTTTGTAAGGGCGGCTCTTTTTGTTGCTGTTTGCGTGAAGGGTGTTGGGGAAGTGATCTGACAGTGATCTGCCTACCAGGAATTCCCAAATCCATTGTCGCTAACCGGAGTCCCTTCCAACACTAACCTTGTTCAAGAGCCCAGTGTTAGCAAGCACGGCCAGGGACACCCATGCACCAAACCAGCTCCGCAAAACAACAGAAGCCTGACATGTGTTTCAAATTGCAGTATACTACCTAAACCCCTATTCGTCCCCTGGGCCCTTTGAAATCCCCTAACCGCTAGCCGCTAACCCCTTCACCCTGAACCGGAAACACCAAACCTCCTAGCCTCTAGACCCCTAAACCCTTAAGCCCTAAACCCTAAACCTTAAACCCTAAACCTCAAAACCCTAAACCCTAAGCCCTAAACCCTGAAGCCTAACCCCGCAAATCGAAATCTCCAGCCGAGTCTCCCCGAGCCGGCTTGCTTCGGCGCCCGAGTCTCGAAGACCAGCAGGGCCATGGCGTCAAGTTCTTTTGGGATTAATGGTGAACGCTTAGGGCCTTGGGTCAGGGGTTTAGGGCCTTCCGGGTTAGAACTTCGGGTTTGGGGGTGTCGGGTTTAAGGCTCAAGGCTTCGGGTTTAGGGCTTCGGGGTTAAGGCTTAGGGTTTCGAGTTTAGGATTTCGGATTTCGGGCTTCGGGTTTTGAGTGTGCTCTTCTGCAGGCGTTCAAGGGTTCGAATTTAGTTGCAGAGCCTTTCTCCAAAATGCAGCCCGTGAGACTGCGCCGATCTTCCACTTCCCCGGCTCTGGTTAGGATATCTGCTTTTCTCATTACGATTTTTGTCTGTGTTGGTGTTCAACTTTTTACATCCGGCAATGAGGGAAATGGTCAGTCTCGCTTTGCATGCCAGGGCAACCGAAAAGTATCGCTCCGGCCAGAAGGGGGCTTGGCCCAAGCTCGAACTGAACCAAAGCACGGCCACGGATTACAGCTCTAGGGTTGCGAGCTTTTTTAGTTTCAGGATTTAGGGCCTTGCGGTTGAAGGTTTCCCTCGACTTGGGGATTTACGGTTTCGTGCGCATAAGTGGTCTTTGTTCGTGGAAGCTTTGTGCGATGCAGGTCGCGTGCTTTGTCTTTAAGTGCCATAGACTATCTGACGTCTGTTTATGGGACCCAATGAAACCCTGCCAAAAACTCTCCCAACGCCCTATATCATACCATGCCAAAATGCGAGTTGAGGGATGAACTTTCGACAGAGCTCTGGGTTTCAACTCTTAAACCTTGAACCCCCCCTGACCCTCCAACACGTAGGATTTCATGGGTGTGTTCTTGTACAAATCTAAAAATATACATACATAACATGTACATATAGATATGATACAGATATAGATATCATGGATATAGATAGACACTCCTATGCACATACACACGACAGCGCGTAAGCCTACTCACGAAGAAATCAGCATCCTCGATGGGCATGTCGCGGAGGAAGATCTCCCGGCTTTCGTTCGACTCGGCCGTGGGAGCGTAGGCTTCAATTAGGATGGATGTGGTCTAGGGTCTATAGGGTTTGGGGTTTGGGGGTTTAGGGTCTAGGGTTTAGGGTTTAGGGTCTAGGGTTTAGGGGTTTAGGGTTTAGGGAATCACTCTTCTTGAGGGCTCCTGTGGCTATATATCCGTGCATGGACCTTTGGGGTGGATGGCCTAAGCCTCATGGATGTAGCTTCGGATTCGGGTTTAGGGAATCACTCTTGAGGGTTCCTAGATGGATGCTTTAAGGCCAATGCACATACTACATAGGTACATAGGCCCTTAAGATTGATGGCCAAAGCCTCAAACCGTAATTTGTCGTTTATCCCCAAGACCCACATGAACCCTAAACCCGAAACCCTAAGCCTCAAACCGTAATTAGCCCCGTGATCCCCAAAATGCCCACAGGGCCTTCGCTCCGAATCCAAGGCCCTTAAGCCCCTGGCCCTGAACCACGAAGCCTGAACGAGCCTAGGGTTCTTAGGGGTTTAGGGTTTAGGGTTCGGGTTCCGATACCGATAATAAAAAAAACAGCCAGGAACCTTTCACGAAAGCCATCATATGACCCTGAACACACCTTCAAAGAACGCCTGGCGACTCCTGTTGACCCTCATGCGTGCACAAGGCCCAGTTTCAATGATCAGGCTAGCTAGAAAGTATGGCTGTAAGTACATTGACTGCGGTCATAGGCATTATTGTGGCGACCTTACTTCTACCTACTAAGTCGCCTGATCCTCTACGTAGAAGCCCCCTGGCAGGCTACTAAAGTATCTACTGAATCTATTCACCACCTCCTGCAGGTTTGGCATTGCTGTGGCTGATAAGGGCTTTAGGCTTTAGAGAACCCAGAGACTCCGAAAGCCAAAGCCCGCAAAACAGTTGGGGTGGTGTGTTCGGTGGTCCTCCGTAGCTATAGAAGAGGAGACTGAATTGGTATGCACACGCACACACATACACAGACACACCTCTCCCAGGGTCCCCGACAGGTGGTTCGCTGAGGAGGTGTGCCTGTAAACAACGGCTCTCCAACTGCAGGTCAGCCCTAACCCCATGTGTTCTTCATTTCACCATGATGGGAACACAAGGGGAGGTTGTAGCCCTAGACCTCTAGCAACAACGTCTTCCAGTCCTGCTGGCGACAACTCTGCAACCAGGCTTCAGAGAACAGAACAGGACAAGGATTCACAAGCATGCCCTGTCTTCACGCACGGACTACAACTGTCAAGGGCCTACATGGCTGGTCTTGTTCCAGGGCGATTGCGGCACCCTAATGACTACCTGAACACAACTACTGGCCCAACTGGCTGGAAATGAAATTCCTTCGAACTCTTGGCTGTTCCACTGGCTCTCGGCTGGCTCTGCTTGTACGGTGATTTGTCAGTGTCGTGGCTGCTCTTCTGCGCCGTAGAGTTCCCGTCCAGCTGGTGCCCAGTCGTATGGTGAAGAAGGCGTGCAGCGCTTTACTAGGGTTTTGTTTTTGGGTGCTGCACAGACCACCTGTTCAAAGGTTAAGGGATATCTACCCAGCCACTTGGAGGTTCATGGGTAGTTATAAGTAGGGTTATAAGTAGGGTAACTATAGTTATAACCTATTACTATATTAGGGGACTTATAACTCCACTTATAACTACCCATGAACCTCCAAGCACCAAGAAATCATCGCCGGAGCCTAGGTAGCTACAGCCAGGAGTCTCCTAGTCGGATCGGATCACAATCAACGGCTGCAGTTAGTTTTTAGGGTTTAGGGTTTTAGGGTTTAGGTTTTTAGGGTCTTACAAATAACCCTGAACCTTCAAGCAAACAGTGCACTCTGAACCCTCTCTGGCATCGAAGGTCTGAGGAACCAAAGCTCTCAATGGCTAGGTCCTATCTCCCAAATCCTAAACGGCTGAATCCCTGAACCCGCTCCTGAAAACGACCCACCACAATGCACGCGTTCCCGAGAGCAACCGTATACGGGATTTGGTGACCCATTACAAGCAAAGAAACTTTTGGTAAATTTAACTTGAGACCCCAATGAAGGTACTTACAACCTTACGCCACCCGATCCTCCAAGTAATTAATTAATGTCTCTTATTCCTCGACCCAGGCTGTGGCCTCGTCGATGCAAAGCAACGTTAGCTCCTCGTCTGTGGCTGGTCCCGCCTGGCCAAAGCAAACTCATCTGAGGGTTCTTGTTTGGTCTTATGTAGCGCTTTCATCTGTCTTCGTCTTCGTGGGGTATTGTATCTGTTCTATATGTTGTTTTTTTGATTTGTTGTTTTCTTGGCTCGCTTGAGGCTGTATAATTCAAGGGTTCCATGGACTTTACAGGGAAATTAGGTGTAGGGCTTGGAGATTCTAGTGTTTTCTTTCGGTCAGCATTTGCCCTCACTAAGACACAGTAAACGCCGTAAAATCCTGTAATTCCTAACCCTACGTCGCCCGTTTGGCTTCGCAGACTTACTTACTTCCCCGATGAGCCAGGGAAATAAAAGGTTAAACTTTCAGGTTACTACTAAGTTATAAGAACCCAGAAAGTTTGAAAGTTGGGTATTGGAGAACTAAGCTTCCCAGCAACCTCGTCTGGAGCCTCGGGATCGTACTCCTCGTCGGGCTGAAGAGGGTTGCCCGCAGCACCTCCGACGGCTTTGGCTCCGGGGTTCAAAAGTTCAGCTCTTGGGATTTGGGGTGCGGGGTTTCAGCTTGAACCCTTAACCCAAACCTTACATTCTGCTTGGGGATTCGGGTTTAAGGGTTTCTTGAGAATTGCAACAATCGTGCTTGAATTACCAAAGGTACCCAAAGGCCCGGTTGCTGATTTGATGGGGTTCGATGTTGGAGTTGTACTGTATTGGGCTTATCAGGTAAAATACCTACCTGCCTACCTACCTACCGACCTACCCACACCTACCTACCCACACCTACCTACCCGCACCTACCTGCCCGCACCTACTTACCCGCACCTACCTACCCGCACCTACCTACCCGCACCTACATACCCACACCTACCTACCCACACCTACCTACCCACACCTACCTACCTACCTACCTACCCACACCTACCTACCCACACCTCCCTGTCCACACCTACCTACCTACCTACCTACCTACCTACCTACCTACCTACCTACCTTCACTAACCTAACCAGTCTCCATCTTTTTTTCTTGTAAAGTGGTTTTGTAATGTCATTCTACACATGCATATGCTTACACATACATCTAAATCTATATGCATGTCTTTATGTACATGTATGTCTGATTATGTGAACAAACACATATTACAAACATATGTATATACAATACGCGTTTTCTTTATTTGCACAATTGGCCCTTGCTACGGAACTGATCAGCATGCAAACCTTGTCGTACATCGCGGTGTGCACATTGCGTTGCCCGTATATTCTGTAGCATATGAGTCTCACCCTTACTACCACAGAAGTAAGGTTTTGGGCAAATCTCATTGCCTCAACTGTCGAAACAACGAATCGCCAAGAACTGGTGAAAGCGTTCAACAAATAGCAAAGGCTCGAATTGGACAAGTTCCTGACACAGTATCAGCCTTAGGGTAGCAGAACACTCCCCCACTTCCGATATCCTCCCTTCATTTTGGCCCCTGTTCAAAATCTGGTTTTGTATGCCCCAAAACCCCTTCTAATTCGTAGGGCCCGTGTATGAGGATGCCCAAGCCTTTGGCCAGCAGGTAGACTGCGAAGCGATCCACGTCGCGCGCCTCTCCCACGTCCAAGCTCTTGAGGCGACGGGTTTAGGGGCTTTGATGGTTCAGGGGTGTAGGGTTTGAGTCATATGGTCTGATGATTAGGTTTCAGGGTTTAGGGTTTAGGGTTTATGGTTTTTGGGGGTGTGAGCCCAGGCTTTGGAATGAGGATGTTTGATCAGAAATTTACTCAAGAAATAACTGGCACAATAAGAACCATTCAGGGAAGAACCCCGGTAGTATTGGCTTCCATGTGACAAACCCAATGTCCGTATCATAAAGTCCACCACTGCCCTCACATTACATGAGGTAAGCTGGCGTGGCTGTCAAAAGCTCTATTCTTTTATTCTTTAGACGTTTGTATGAAGTAGGATTACTATTTTCTCGAACGCGACAACATGTGACAACCGGAATGCACACTCTTTCATCTTCCTCAGGGACTATATGCACTCAATAAGCCCTTCTGCTCGGGACAAATTCGAGTACTTTACTTTGTTGTCTTACTTGGAGGATGCGGTATCACACTGGGTCCAGACGTCGGGGTCCAATAGAAATGAAAGGTACTCTAAATACAGAAACCCACATGAGGATGACTTAGGTTTTGCGGGTTTAGGCTTATGGGGTTTAGGGGCTTAGGCTGGAGGGGCTCGGGATTCAGGGGACTCAGTAGCCCGTCAAACCAAAGACGGAGGATGCAGCATAAACTGGGTTCTCAGAAGAGCTTAAGCCAGAGCCTGAAATCCTATCCTGTGACAACACTCTGCAAAGTGTATTGCCGATATAACGGCTAAAGAGGCCTAGATTCATCGACTATGCAGCTGACTTGGTGATCGGGGATCAACTGCCTCACCAGAAATTCTGAGAGTCCTTACGTCTTCACACATTGGCTGGGCGAGAAACACACGTCTGCTCTCCCTTCTTTCTGGAACAACCTCTAAGGGTGTCCTTCTTGATCTCGTGGCTCTCAAGTAGTAGTAGTAGTAGTAGT